TGGATATTGTAATACTCGAGCATACAAGGCTTTCACAAATGCTGCGTTTATAAAAGTCATAAAAAAAAGCCAAAAAAAAACCCGCCCCCCCCCCCCCCCCCCCACCCCACCCCACCCCTCCTCCCAGCCCGAGTTTGTGTTTTAGTTTTGGAGCAGCGTTGACTCACCGCTGACGTGGAACAGGGCTCGGGTTCATTCTCCGCCCCTACAACTAGGACTCGAGAAGGATTTGGGGCTCCGCTGCCTTTTATGGTGCTTAGAGTAAAATTGCTGAGTTGAGTTGATTTTTATTTTTAACTCAAACAAAAACCGGGCAGACGTTCTCACAACATATTTATGTTCAGAGCATCCAGACCAGCACGTTTCAGCTTTATCGCTCCTGGACTGGTTTCCTCCAGAGACTCACCGACTCGGGGGCTTTGATGAAGATCTTGGTTTTGCCGAGCTGGAACTGATCCTGGTCCATGTTGACAGACCGTAAGAGGTGATGGACGCCTTGTTTTTCGTCTCCTCGCCACGTTGGCCAGGATTCTTTGGTCAGGATGGCGTACCTGAGGACCACAGTTACAAACAACAGAACTGGAACCACAGCGTTTGAAACATTAGGTTGGGGAGGTCGAAATTGGCTCATGTGCAACTTAAATCATTAGATAGGAGAACCCAAAGGGTCTGAGGTGTGATATACCTGTTGAGGAACTTCCTGAAGACTCTACGGTAGGCGTAACCGGCACGCCTCACCCTGATGTTCTCCTTGAGACCCAGATACTCGACCTGGTGCTTCACTCTGAAAAGAGAACGTGTCCAAAATTAACATCACATTAAGAGACACCATATCCTCCATCATCTTACAATCTTATGTTGCATTTTGTTGCAACTCAGTGTCCACCTTAAACATTTAACATTTCAGGACACTTGAAGCTCTCGCCATGCTGTTGGAGGCGAGAACTGCAGTTCATCGTATGCAAAGCAGTTGCTCCTGCTCAACATTTTCCTTAAACAAAGAGCTTAAGCACTGGTTCGTACACCCAGACTTCCTGTGAAAACACTTCCGTTGCTAATTAATGAGCCACATCGCAACAACTCCCAAACAAGACGGTCACAATCTCTGAACAAAACAAACTCTTTACATGAACGTGTAGCTTAAAACTCAGAGAGCAGGGAAGGAAGAGAAGCTGATGACCAAAGGCATAAAGAATAAAAAAAATGTGTTTTAAAACACGACTTTGGATGAGTAAGAAACAAAACACCCACCAAAAACAGCCGAGAAGAAATTAGAACGATGGGTTTGTGTTCTTAATGGAAGTAAAATATAAATGCTCATTTATCTGAAATGTTTGCACATTTGTTTTCGGTGCCACAAAGCTGTTAAACTTACAGTAGTTTCTGTTTCAGTCCGATTTATTTGACTTTATGACATTTTACTATAGACCTACTGTCAATTTTATTTGTAAACCTCTTTACTTGACCCATTTTTCCCATTTGGTATTTCGTCTGCTACTAGAGATTTAAAAAAATGTCTCCCAGCTAAATCTAAACATATCTTTCTGCAAACACGCCGACTCCACAGGAATTATGTATAATGTGCAAAATGTTTGGGAATTCCTCGTGACTGGATTTTCTCATTAAGAACATTCAAGTGATGGTGTTTTCTTCAAAGCCGTGGTAAAATACTTCATGACCTCTCCACTTTGAAAGCCAAGTCACCTGATGACTGATTTTTGTTTTCCCTCGTTCCTGCATTTATTTTTATTTTATTTATTTGCCATTATATGTCAGAAACTTTTGTTTGCATGCTTTAAGACCAACATTGTTGTGCACAATTTTTCTGCAAAAAAAAGTTAAAGAGTTTTCAATCGAACAATCAGCAGCTCTGAGCACTTTAATCCTCTGGTCAAACAATAATCATGTTCCCAGACTATCCAGACTTTGTTCTTGTCAGTAGCATGCAGCGAAGAGGGATCTGATTTGTTTTAATCTGAATTACCATATTTTCCTCCGTATAAGTCGCATCAGTCAAAATATGTCTAATAAAGTGGGAAAAAACAAACACGTCGCTTCGCCGTTTAAGTCGCATCTATTATGCGTCACCACTGACGACCATGAAACGTGGGCGGTGTTGTGCCAAAAATTGATTGGCTGCCAGATGGCGGCCGCAGGATTGTGCACAGGAGTACTTTAATAAGAATTTAACATGATTAACACTTACAAACAATGATTTGTTTGTTTGAAATTATAGTAATATAGTGTCTCAAACCAACTTTTCCTTAATAAATACACTTTGATGGTCAAATCAGCTGCATTTCAAAAGCCGATTTGTAGAAGTGGGAGCGCGCAGAGGGACGACTCGCTGCGCATTTCTTCGAAATTTAACAAGATAACCACCTAAAAACAATTATTTGTTTGCTCGACCTTATCGTAAAAGTTTGTCTAAGTTGAACTTTTCTTTAATAAATACACTTCAATGGTCAAACCAGCTGCATTTCGCCGGGGCGGCGCAGCAGAATGAAGCTGATTTGATGGTTGCTTCAGGCATGATCCCGGAGCTGGACGAAGGTGGCAGGCTATGGCAAGCCGATTGTGTCATTAATAGCCACTTTTAACTATTACATGACACAACGGCATGCCATATTACTCGAGTGCCATCTAGCGGCTGAAAATGGTAGTGTTTAATATTTTCAATGTCAGAATGAATGAAAACGGTCATATCTCAGATAAAAATCGGTTTATAAATATGAAAAAAACATAAATAAGTCGCTTCGGTGTACAAGTCACAGGGCATGCAAATTATACAAAAAACTGCGACTTATAGGGAGAAAAATACGGTATGTAAACTAAACTACAAACTGTCCTCCCTCATGAATACTGCTTCTGTGTTGAGTTTTAAAATAAAAACTTTTAAATACGCCCTCAGAAAGGAGACTTGTGGCGCTTCATCACTCACCGGCCCTCCTCCCAGTCTTTGGGCTTCTTGGTCTCGTTTGGTTTGATACAGCGGATGTAGTGTGGCGTACATTTCATTAACGTGCTCACCAGGTCGTTGGCTTGTTTCTGAGGGGAGGAACGAGAGAAAACATTTAGACAGGAAGGAGGGCAAAGGCAAGAGGTAGACAAAGGTCGTGTTAAAGTGAAACGCACACATCGTCTCAAAGTTTTTTTAGCCAACAGTGACTCTGATAAGAAAAACACACAGATACAGACATTAGTGAACACGCACCTTTATTTTGCTGCCTGCGGTGGTGGGTCGGCCCTTCTTCTCAGCATTGAGGTTTTCTGGAAACAGAGCTCTGATGAAGGCACTGTGAGGAGACGAGAGGTGACGAGTTAAAAACAAAAGTTTTATCCACAGAGAAATAAAAACAAACCAAGGTTAACCTAAAAATAACAGCACATTCACAAGGGAACCAAAAAAACATCAGTTAATGGTTAAAGAAGCAAGGACCTTCCACTGACTGAGGTCATCGGTCTGAATTCCTGAAACATTTGGGAACGCTGGAATTGAGGGAGGTGGTGTGTGTGTGAGCGTGTGTGTGTTGTTTGCACAAGGCCTTTTATGTAACGTGAAATAAACTGTGAATTAGCCTCAAAATACATGAACATATCCTTTCACCTGTTTCAAAATAAAAAGATGTTCAATAATCTGTTTCCACAGAGCGTCACATTTAAACTTTCTTTTTTTTTTTGTCTCGTTTTTCTGCATCAACACGTGTAGATTAACTATATTTATAAAAAATGTAGAAGAACTAAATTATAGGTTTCCTGAAATCCTTTTCTGTTACTTGTGAAGCAGAAGTGTAGCAGGTAGATGTAGACAATCTGAAGCCTCGTTGGTTTTTATGATTATTGATACCAGGCACTCGGATGCAGACGTGTGAACTGTCCGTCTAAAGGGTCAGAGTCCAAAACTCATAGTTTCACTTCAGTAAAGTTCTCGTGACTACATAAACCAGTAGTGCGGTTGATTAGACTAACTTCTTAACTCCTACCTCATCTAGCATTATATTCAATGGCGTGGCTTACTAATCTGCTACTTCCTGTTAATGAAGGCTCACCTTTAATTAATCAAATATATATCAAATATATATTACATATGTCAGTCTGTGACTGTTCTGGACCAGAGGCTGGTCAGCTCAGCATCTGAACTCCGTCAGTGTTGTTGTAATGAAGGCAGAATATCATTTGGCATCGTCTTGCAGAAATCAGCAAACCTTTCAGAATCTCGTTGACCTATAAATGCTTCGCACCCTCATCTCTCCGATCTGTTTCAACCTAATGTTTCTTCTCAGGTATCGATCATCTGATCAGCTGCTTTTGGTTGAAGCTCAGAGGAGATCAGCTTTTTTCAGTCATGGCTCCTAAACTCTGGAACAATCTGCCGCCCAACATTAGACAGGCCACCTCACTTCCTGTTTTTAAATCTCTCTCTTTTTTTAAACACACCTGTTTTCTCCGACTTTGAACAGTGTGGTTTGATTTACCGTGGTATTTTATTGTTCTGTGTTTAATGTAAATTTTCTTCTGATGCTTTTAACTTGCCTTTTTTTAATCTCTACCTTTGTCTTTTATGGTTCAACACTTTGATAATAACTTGTTTTAAACATGTGCTTTATAAATAAATTTGACTTTGACTTCAGAAGAAAATGACCCGAGTGATGAACGTTTTGTTCAACATTAACGGAGCCTTTACATGTTAACTCAAACTGCACTAATGCAGCTTAAACTGTCACATCTCACATGTGAACTGAGAAGATGCTACGTGTGATGCATATACTGTGTATTTTTATTCTTTTTAAATCACATAACTGTTTTCCACTGCACGGCATACCTCTAATGAGCTCAGACATACAGACGACAAAAGATTTTTGTTTGCAATAATGACTATTGTTGTCCACAACAATAGTTTTCTAGAAACTCCACCCTTGCAGCAGAACTCGGTGTAGTTTTCAGGCAGAGCTGCTGAAGAACATGCAGACTCTATTTTTGATCATAGAAAATCAAGGCATCAAATGATTTCATAGTTTTATTCAAGAGCCATTTATTAAAGAAAACTTTAATGTTTGTTTTGTAAGCAAATATGTCAAAAATACCTATTTATTTATAATTTTATTTCATTCTGACCTGTAAAGAAAGGAAAATACCTTCAAATGTCCTAGACCGTGACGTTAACAAATGTTACTTTTTACTTGAATACATTGCACAGAAAAACTAGTTGAAATCAACAAGTCGAAATCAACAAGTCAACAAGTCGAAATCAACAAGTCAACAAGTCAAAAACAAGTTGAAATAAACTCAAAATCAGCAACTCGAAATCAAGTCGAAGTCAACAAGTCAAAATCATCAAGTCGGAATCAACAAGTCAAAATCATCAAGTCGAAGTCAACAAGTCAAAATCATCAAGTCGGAATCAACAAGTCAAAATCATCAAGTCGAAGTCATCAAGTCGAAATCAACAAGCCGAAATCAACAAGCCAAAATA